CATCATGCCAGGATGCAATTCATGTGTACCTGGGAATGTGAGCTTGCTTAAGGTGCTTAGATATTCCCATACTTCAGTATTAGATAAAACGCAAGAGGCTCTGCGATTCCTTCAATCTGCTTGTCACCGAGGCCAAATGCGACAGACTCTTCTTCTGCAAGAAGGAGCCAAACGAGGGGCTGAGCAGTTCTGCCCTTTCCTTGTTACCAGCCACTATTGGGTCATCTTTGTGGTGCAGTTGGTCTACCATTCCCTTTGCCCCCCTTTTACTTGGAACATGCCTGAAGAATCCCTTCTTGAGATCCCTCACCAACACCAGCTCACCTTGAGTTTCAGCCTTCCTGACACCATTCCTGCCAAGCGATCTGCCCGGAAACCTCCTTAGTGACTTGTCCCACTTCCTTTATGTGTTCCTTCCCATGTTCAGATCAGCATTGTATTTTTTGTGTTAACCACAGTGGCTTTTTCTGTATCTTCCGCAGAAGAGGTTGGAGCAGTTGTGAGGGCTACATACAACCTCCTACATCAGAGGGTGCTCTGCCAACAAGTTGCTGAAGAACGTGAGCAGGAGGCGATACTGCACTGTATCCGACTTCTGGGTTTCCTACGGGTTTCTGCTTGGTTTCCGCATGAAGAAAATGCCGGACTAGATGGACTTTGGTCTGATTCCACACGGCTCTTCCATTGTTTTCCCTCACTGGGATTTTTTCTGATAGTACTTTTAGTATCCCTTCTTTAGCAGCTTCCATCCTTTTGAACTTCTCTTCCTGTTCGGCTTTCCTGCAAGGAAATCCTTTTTACCATTGCTCTGGTTTTATTAATATTGGCTTTCCTGAACTTGAAGGTAAATGTTTGACTACATTCAGGTTTAGATTTCCTTAAAATCCTGCTACATTCCTACTACTTCCTACACCTCACCGACTAACTCTTCCCTACTGCTCAGAACTGAAGCAAGGGCAGGATGACTGATCCCTTCACTCCTTCCTCCACCAACTGAAAAATAATGCTTTCAGCAAGGGATAGCAGGAATTTCCTGGAAATACTATGCTTGGCAGAATTTGTCCTCCAACAGACATAAGCATAATTCAAGTCCCCCGTTACTGTGACTTCATACGTCCTTGAAATGTCTGCAGTTTCCACTTGAAAAGCATCATCCACATCAACCCTGTGGTAAGTTGACAGCAGGAGACTCCAACCGCGGTATTTATTCCTTTCTCCCTCCTATAACTCCGGTTTTGTTGAACAGTACCACTGTTCCCTTTCTCTTGCATTTCTGCACAGGTGTGTGTGTCCTTACATAATGCCACCCTTCCCTGTTTCTTAATGGTTGCTGTTCTTTCTGAGCAAGTCGTTTTTGGGAGCAGTCCTGTGGCCCCCGGATAGCATTCAAGGGGCCACAGGACAGTTCAAATCCTCTGGTATGCAGGTGAAGACAGTGTTCCAGCCTGGGATATGGGAATCAGAGATCTGGTCCATGTCCATCTTTCTCTTGAAGCTTTCATGGAAAGAACCACACTAGCTACCCTACAGGGTACAGAATAAGACTTGGAGAGCAGGGAAGAGGG